GGACACAGGACACAGGGACATTGGGGACACAGGACACAGGGACAGGGGGCCAGGCCTGGGGCGGGGCAGGGCTGAGGTCGCCTCTCCCGGCGGGATAAAAACAGCTGGGTCGGACATTCCGGACAATTCCCGCATTGTCCATTGATCCATCGGCCACTGGATCCACGATCCCAAAGATCCCCAATCCAGGAGGAAACCCTTGGATCCAGGATCCCAAAGATCCCCAATCCATGAGCAAACCCTTGGATCCAGGATCCCAAAGATCCCCAAATCCACGAGGAAACCCTTGGATCCACGATCCCAAAGATCTCCGATCCATGAGCAAACCCTTGGATCCAGGATCCCAAAGATCTCCAATCCACGAGCAAACCCTTGGATCCACGATCCCAAAGATCTCCGATCCATGAGCAAACCTTTGGATCCACGATCCCAAAGATCCCCGATCCATGAGCAAACCCTTGGATCAATGATCCCAAAGATCTCCAATCCAGGAGGAAACCCTTGGATCAATGATCCCAAACATCTCCAATCCACAAGCAAACCCATGGATCCACAACCCCGAGGACCCCCCAATCCAGGAGGAAACCCATGGATCCACGATCCCAAAGATCTCCAATCCACGAGGAAACCCTTGGATCAATGATCCCAAAGATCTCCAATCCACGAGGAAACCCTTGGATCAATGATCCCAAAGACCTCCAATCCAGGAGGAAACCCTTGGATCCACGACCCTGAGGCCCCATGGATCCACGATCCCAAAGATCTTCAATCCACGAGGAAACCCTTGGATCAATGATCCCAAAGACCTCCAATCCAGGAGGAAACCCTTGGATCCACGACCCTGAGGCCCCATGGATCCACGATCCCAAAGATCTTCAATCCACGAGGAAACCCTTGGATCCACGATCCCAAAGATCCCCAATCCATGAGGAAACCCTTGGATCCACGACCCTGAGGACCCATGGATCCACGATCCCAAAGATCCCCAAATCCATGAGCAAACCCTTGGATCCACGATCCCAAAGATCCCCAATCCACGAGCAAACCCTTGGATCCACGATCCCAAAGATCTCCAATCCACGAGCAAACCCTTGGATCCAGGATCCCAAAGATCTCCAATCCAGGAGGAAACCCTTGGATCCACGATCCCAAAGATCCCCAATCCACGAGCAAACCCTTGGATCCCCCCAGCTCCATCCCGCGCTCACCGGAGCGGCCGCAGTCGGAGCAGGACACGAGCTCCTCGGGCTGTCCCGTCTTCTTGTTGATCTTGGAATCTCCCAGGCAGAAATCGCAGTAATTGTTGGGAAGCGCCAATCCATCGGGACCTTTCTTGGCTGGAAAAGCCGAGCTGGGATCAGGGCTGGGATCAGGACTGGGATCAGGACTGGGATCAGGGCTGGGATCAGGGCTGGGATCAGGACTGG